CGTCGCTTTGCCCCCAGCATTTATAATGGTGTTATATAGATAAAAAACTTATTTTTTCTTTATAAGCATCTTGATTCATTTGGTTTCATCTCTAGCTTAAACAACACGGTGGCCACAGGTCCCATTCCAGACACCCCTGGGCTACATTTGGCTAGAGGCCTGTACTTTGCCCCCCCCCCAAAATTAGATTTTTACCCCACCAAATATACAGGCTGTAGCTCATTATGTTTCTGGATAGCCATTCTTCTTTCTTCCTTCCTACTTACCCATCACTCCAGTCAAGCACCAACTCACATCTTTTCTTCATGTATGCTGTTCACCACCAGAGACAGCTATTTTTAAAACCTCCTTTATTTCCATGCAGATGCATCTCATTTATGAGTACGTGTCCCGTGGTGTACTGCAACATCTACTGCTGTCTATAGATCTCAGCTCAGAATTCTGCACTGTGACCCCAAAGAACAATAGATCAGCTCCCTGTTGCTTTGCAGAGGTAAAGCAGGGGTGTGCTTACATAGCATTTGTTTCACTTCACCTCATACCGAACCCTCTGATCACAAATGATTTCAACAGCTACAGAGTATCAATAAGATGTGAGTGGTTATCAATTGAAAGTGCTAACAAAAATCACAGGAAAAATGAGCATTCAGAGTTAAGAGAAAACTGTCCTTTTTATTCATTTAACCTATAACTACCAGAAGCCACCAGGTGTCAGTGTACCCTAATACGTGGCAGACAGGACTACAAAGAAACCTTACTGAATGTGAAGTAAGTTTTTCAACTGTCAGCTTATCCTCTGTCCAGTTTGGTGCCCAACACTGAGGGTTTACGGTAAAAATAAAAGTGTGACAAAATTATATGAACAGAAAAGTTTCCATGATTTAAACAAATAATCAATTAAAAAAACAAATGGTTCTTTTCTTCCTTTAAATCTCCCTTTGCAGCATTAGAAACCCCAAACACAAGACCCAGAGTAAAACTGACTAGGAATACATGGCCAAATCCTGCACATGGATGTCAATAAGAGCTCTTTGCTCATGGAAGGATTACAGGATCAGGCCCATGCAGTGTAACTGATGCATGAAGTTTCACCCCCCCAAGATCAGCCAAATGCAAATAGTAAATTAAGTGGGGAAGGTAAATTTTAAAAATTTCTCAGTTTTAATAGTAAAATGCTATCAGCCACAAGACCTTTGGAGACAAGCTGGGATTACAAAGCCAAGCCACACCTCCTCTGAGACGCTTCCGAAGCAAGTGATCTGGCCACTGTGACAGACATCCAAAGACCACTCTAGACGTTTGGAGAGCTCCTGAACCTCAGAATTTGCCTCCTGAGATACAATCATGGTGCTACTCTAACCATAAGGAACTGGAGTAGCAAGCCACCAGAGCTTGGTAGCTGGCAGCTTTCACAGCTAGAGCTGCTAATTAATAAGCCTCGATGACAAACCTTTAATAATTTAAAGTTTGGTGGCTCCCTGCCATCTCAACAAATGGTGACTTATGTCACCGTTGGACTTGAGTATTAGCTGACCAGCCCTCTGCTGTCTCTGTACATGGTGAGAGGATATGAAACAAAAGTGGCAAAGCAACCCAGCACTGAAGTAACAAGTGAGGGAAACCAACAAAGGAAAAATGTATTTTGTGTGGGTGTCCTAATCCATGTTTGATTTAATATGATTTTATTTTTTATAGTAGCTACTGAATATTAAACATATTTAATGAGGATTAGTGGCTATATTATTAACATTATACTGTGGGGCTGCTTAAAGGCCACAGGCAGGTTAGCCCCATTGTGCTAGGTGCAGTATAAACACATAACTTAACTCAATGTTTTATTTATTCACCATATAATGTCTTACATTTTATATAGCATCTCTTCATCCTGAAGAACCTCAAAGCATTTTAAACATAGTGGTTCTTAATTCCATAACATAAACTGATTATAGTCCTGCATTATTCAATTCAGTTGATTTGGGAGTCAGTTTGTATGGAAGATGCTATGCAAAAATGAATCTGTATTAACAACATCGTTTATATCCTCACTTTCAGCACTCTGATATCAGTGATGAGCATCCTACAGACATAGATAGATAGATTTGAATTACAAGTTAATTGCTAATCCTCATTAAATACATTTGGATCTTTTTGTACAGTTATTCCCTTAAAGACCAAACTTTAATAGCATCTTGCCGCAGGCAGCCAGCTAGCCTGAAAATGGAGATATGCAAAACAGGGTGAAGAGGGGAATTTCTTATGTATTTATTTTGGACCCAGGTCCATGAAACAATGAGGAGAAAAAAAGGGACAAAACATTTCAAACTAAAGAGCTGTAATTTTGAGCATCATGATTTAGGCAGAGCTGGGAGCACAGTTATGAATATTCAAGTTCATTTTATCACATCCTCAGGGAGCTGGGGCCTTAAGGTTTGCCCAAGGCTTGCCTGAGAAGCACTCGTATGGGCGTTTAGGCTTGATTCTGACCTCACATTGACTTTTATACTAGTTTAAATGCAATAACTTCAGTGGAGTTACTCCTGCTTTATACCGATGTGAGTGAGACTAGAATCTTCTCCCTTGAAACAGATCTGGTAAGGTCCCAAATGGAAGGGGGAAGTTTTCAGTCTCTGGATCTTATTTTCTTTCATTAAGATATCCTAGCTGCTCTGTATGTTCATCTCACAAGATCAACCACAGCTGGAGGCCACAACCATGGAAAATGGGATAGGAGCAGAAAAGGCCTCCTACTCTGTGATTTAGACAAGGGATCTTTTGCTGATGTGACCTCCCAAGCTGCCAGGAGGCAGGTAATTGTCCTTTTCAGGTGAATTCCCACCCCACACTGATGTACCAGCAGAGGCTCTGCAATGCAGCACTGAATTCTCTGCAATCATCCAGCCAAACCAGGCTAGGTTAAAGTGCTCAAACTTTTCAGGTTAAACGTGGTGCTTGTGGAACCGAAAAGGGATTGGGGGGGTATTAGGCAGAGGTGAGAGCTCACAGGAAAATGTTTTCATCTGAACAACACAACAGCCCGTCCCATCAGAAGCTAAAGCAAGGGAACTAGAGAATATCTGACCTTCATACATGCACAGAATGCAAACTCTCTGCCCAGGACATCAACTGAATCTTTGCTTCCCAGATCCAGAACAAGACACAGATTTTCCTATTGCACCTGCTGGGACAGATTCTGATTCCAGCTCCAGGAGCCAGTGAGGTCAGGGTCTGGCCTGCCATCTCCCTGCTGGGCACCCAGTGTGAGTTGACTCCCCAGTCACTTGGAATCCATCTTAGCCTCATCATTTTATTTCTCAAACCCAGCCATTCTCAACCGCAACCGGAGAGCTAAGTAAGTGCATTTAAAAGTGATGAAAAAAGCATTGGCGCTACTGATAGCAAAAGACACATACACATACATACCCCAGTGCCCCACCCGCCTCCCTCCACTCACAGTGACCCTTCTCGCTCCAGGATTCGGACGCAGCCTCAGGACCACGACAAGAAAGAGTCGCTCTGTCCCAAGCCCTATAAGAGGTTCCTGAGAAGCTGCCCCTCACCTCACAGTCCTTAAGTCAAGATAGGATAGACATATATTTAAGCTGTTTCTCTTTTTAAAGATGTGTATCTTCCTCAAAGACACCTGCGTCCTCACTCGCCCGCTTGGTGATCAGGACATCCCAGCCGTCGGGGCCGTTGATGGCACCTCCGCCATTCACACTGGTCTTCTTCTCCTGCATCTCTGACTGGCTGTCACTGGCCACGTCCAAGGTGGGGTTGTCATGGCAGCCGTTCTCCACAAAGCGCAGCTCCTCGCCGTGTGACTGGAAGGGGGAGGAGGAGGAGGCAGGATGGGACACAGAAACTGAGAAAAGATCCCGATGCTGTAGAGGCACAAGGCCAGGGCCAGATCTTGCTCCTGTTCAAGTCAATGGAGATTTTTGCCATTGTTTTCATGGGAACAGGACTGGGTGGAGTTTGTTCATGGCCCCATGTGAAGGTCAACTAGCCCTCGTGGTGGAAAGGAGGTGGCACATGCCAGGAGCCCAAAGGCTGCACCTATTCTACATAAAATGGAGCCACCTGAAGTCATAACTTTAATATCAAGGGGTAAATTATGGTGGATAACATTGTTGCCAGCATGCAATGCACTCAGGCTGCTTGAACCAAGATGGAGCATGGCATGCTGGGATCTGCAGGCAGCACCTTCATATTAAAGATGGAGGTGACTGCACTGAAGAACTCTTTGAGCTGGATCTGGCCCACTGCAGGCTATGCTTCATGCTATTGGGTTAGATCCAATAAGAGAACACTATCAGGGTCCCAAATTCTAATCTGGACACGGCCATTAACCCATGGTGATCTGGCCCAGGTGCTTCTACCAAACTCATCTAGGAAGATGGACATGGAGAAGGAACCACTCCTTCCATCCTAAGGGATAAGAGCCAAGTCCAGATGTCTTCCCCCACCCTCCATGTGCTCACCATGTTCTTCATCTTGGGCAGGCGCCTCTGCCAGCAATTGTAGATAAGCCCCATGATGATGATGATGGCACAGATGGAACCGATGATGACCAGCACCACAAAGAGTTTCCCATAGTCGCTGCGGGTCTGGCTGGGCCGTGACTGGCAGCTTGTGGTGGTTGAGTAGTTCTGGATGCCAATCTAAAATTAACCGAAAAGTAAGGCATGCTCAACCACTTGGGGGTTAATGGAGCTGCAGTCACTGTCCTGTGCAGAATCCCAGAGCTCTGGCAGTGTGCACAGGCTCACTGTGACCAACAGGGACAAGAGCTAGACTGGTGGGATCCGCTCTGGGATTGTGCTGCACAGTTGGAAGGAAGGAAGCACATCTCAGTCTAATACTATCTACAAATCTTCCACCATGAGGTCATAACATCTTCCTTCTAGGGAGTGACAGTGGGAAGAAACCAGCACACCAGGTGTTAATCCCTGCTCTGGGCTCACATAGGTGTGCAGAGTGGGGTAGCAAGGCAGGGGCTGTGGCTCAAGGCCAATAAGAGGGAGGAAATGCTCTAGAAACAGCTACCTAGCGGGCAAAGGGGAGGAAAGCCTGTCGGGGAGGCAGAACTACTCACTCAGATGAGTGTAACCTGGGGTGGGGCGTTACATGTTTAAGCACCAACCTGCTGTTTCTTTTGCTCTAACTTGGGCTCACAGGAGGGCAGGAATAAAGTTTTGGATAAAAACCTCCTTCCATGGAAGACTGGCGTTCTGTTCCTATGCGAGTGACCCACTCCACCAGCTTCTACTTGGGATACTGAATATTCTAGAGGCCAATCAGACACATGGGGTCTCTAAACTATAGCTAGGAGCGAGCCTCCCATCCCGGGCAGACAGACTGGTGCTAGCAGCATTCGAGCTAGCACGCTAAAAATAGCAGTGTGGAAGGTGTGGCTCAGGTGGAGACTCGTGCAGCCCACCCAACTCTGCCTACCCGGGCTGGGAGGTTTGCTCCCCACTGCAGTGTAGACACACCTATGGAGTGTTCACAGAAATGATCTTAGCACATTAAGACTCACTTCAATCTACAAAACTCCTTGGTGGCAGGAAAGGCCCCACTTTACAAGGGAGAAACCCAGGTTAAGGGTCTTGCCCACAGTCACAATGGCAGGTCAGTCTCATAGTTGGGATTAGAACACTGGATTTCCCGACTCCCTGTCCTGTGATCACTCCCCCAGGCCACACACTCCAGACAAGCATGATACCAAAACTTTAAAAAACAAAACCAAACTTTGCCTGCTAGAAACGGCATGTCAGCAAACGAAGCTGAACATTGCTGATTGGTCTCAGTGACTTGGCAGATTTCAAAAAGGTTATGTATCAATTCAATAGTATATATGAAGAGTGTAAAAGAATATCCTCCCTCTTTCTTCCAAGCTTATGATTACACAACGTCTCTGTGATAAAGAGTCTGTTTCATTATTGATACAGCTGGAGAAAGAATTACAGGTGCTGAGGTACAATATAAGTTGTGTAAGATCTCTGCAGGTAGCTTTATTGTTCTCTCAAACAACACCAAGCAAGCCTTGAAGTCTCCTCCCATGTTTTCCATGGAAAGGACAGTTCAGGGTGCTAGTACCTTGTTTACACAATTTCAGCAATGCCCCTTATAGGGCTTTTAGCACTTTCTCTGGTGTAAGCCAATCAATACCACATTGAGCACTTATTTTGCTTTGTCTAGCTGCACTGGGTTGTTAGGTTAGGAGAAGACATGCATCTGCCAACACATTCTGGTCTGACTCTGCTCTCACCCACTTACACTGGAGTTATTCCTCGGAAGTCAATATAGTTCCACCAGTGTAAATGAGAGCAGAATCAGGCTCTTAATGCCTTCAAGTCCAATGAGCTAAAGGGGCAGACTCAAAGGAAATAGACTAGTTTGCCTTCTTCCCTGCTCCTCATCCAGGGCACCAAGGTTCTTAGGGGAATGTTTGGTGAGTAACTGTAGTCTGCTATGGAATTCGAATAGTGCCGTCAATGAGAGAAATGGAGTACTGAAGGCTGTGATGTCAGAGGGACTGAAAAGCAAGCCTGAACACTGGGGGGAGGGAAGAAAGCGAGACACAGTCACCTGCATTCATCAGGTGTCCCCCCTCTCTGGAGCAAATCTAAGGTTCAGCTCTTCAGTATGGTCCCAGTTACACAGGGAATACGAAGACAGGCAAAAACAATTTAAAAAATACTTCCCTAGGAAACAGAGGGCTGAGAAACCCTGGAGGGCATTCTGCCCAGTGCGGGAACTCACCGGGACTGTTCAGCAGAGGCTGAGCAACTACTGGCAAGAAGAGCTCTAAGTGGACAATATGGGGAGCTGGACAGATCTCAGGTCTCATCTTTCTATAAAAAAATCCTACGGACAAAATCTGCAACCCATCCTGGCAGATGGTGGTGTGGGGAGCAGGGAAGGGATTGGTCTATGCAGGATCCCTGAAGTGTGGACAGCAACTTCAAAGAAGCCTTCCAGAGACAGCAGATGACCCCATAGCCAGTCACTCTTAATGGGAACTGACATCTGATCATTCTGCAGTCATCAGGGAGGGAATAGGGGGTTCTGGCAATTTGCTTATGAAGGGTTCAGAGCCCCCTTAGACTGAAGCATGATCCCATTTTAATTACACTGGCTGCCTTCAGCCTGTAGGTTAAGCAGACAGGTTCTTACCTCGGCTAAGCTCCTCTGAACATACCCCAGTGCCATCAGGACATCTTTTGTAGGGACGACACCTGGTGAGAGGAGGAGAACCAGACAGAAGTGGTCAGCCCTACATGCTCTGCTTTGGCTCACGCATTCAGCACATCAGCATTCCCTGGGAATTCCAGGGCAGGATGTGGAGGAGAAGGGGACACACGTTTTATTAGTTTACAAACTATTTTATGCGGTAAAAGCAATGTTTGGCCAGGAATTCCGGGTGCATGCAAGTGTGATTGAAAGTGTGGACTAACTGGAATCCAAAAATCATGGGGCTAAGCACTGTGCTACTCACACATACCTCCGCCAATGCATTTCAGCCCTGACTTGCAGCACTTGCTACTCCTGAGTGCTTACACAGTTCTGTCAATACACCTCTCTCCTGACCTGCAGCATCCTTAAGGACATGTGTTGTGCTCTGCAGGGATCCCTAGCAAGGCAGCCTACCAGGCATGTCAGGAGGCATATTGCAACAACTTTGTTCCTGGCAGAAAGAAATCTGCAAAAGCCTCCCTGCTAGGGAGTCACTAGCCATCACTGAGTGGCCCCCAAGTGGCTTCCTTCCCACATAGCTCACAGGATACTCTCCAAGCTGGCAAGCCAGAAAAGCATCACCTGTCAGTAGGATTTAGAGACCAAGGAGAATTGTTCCCTCTCCAGATGCCTCTCCAGTTCGGTCCAGCAACAGAGAGGGAACCTAACAAGAGCCTCATTCTTCACAGCAGAAAATGATTCAGCCCTTGACGATTCCAGGGTTCCTAACTGGGCACAGAACTCCATTTCTGACAGTTGCCCAGCCTGGCTGTGCTACTAGCATTACACAGCCCAGCTTCTCATTCCCAAGGGGATCCCCTCCACTAGAAAGAAAGGTTTACATTAGGGCCGCATGTGCTTACAAGAGCCTTTTAATGGTACATGGCATGGTCCACAGTGTTGGGAGAAACACTAATTTAAACAAGCACGTAGAAGATACCTCTTAAGTATCAACATTATTTCCCAACATCTGTGGTGCATTTTATAATATTACTTCTTACTTGCCCTGGCATTGGCCTGCTAAGCCCAGGGTTGTGAGTTCAATCCTTGAGGGGGCCAGTTGGGGATTTAGTTGGGGATTGGTCCTGCTTTGAGCAGGGGGTTAGACTAGATGACCTCCTGAGGTCCCTTCCAACCCTGATATTCTATTCTATGATTCACAGTTATAGGGCCTTCCCCATCAAGCCTATACCCTAAACAGACTACAGAACAGAGACAGCCCCAGCTGATTGGAATGTTCCCATTGGGACTGCTTTTCAATGGACACGCAATAGTTCTTCTAACCCTCACTGGGTAGCATTGGCAGGCTCTGCAGATCTGAACAAAAAGCAGACGATCTCACCTTCTGCAGCAGAAGAGGGAGGGAGACACAGAGGCAAGCACGGGAAAAAATGCACAAAGATGAATGTGTGCAAGGATAAAAAGGGAGGGGGTGAAGCAGGAGGCCCTGAAGGAGTGAAGGGAGGAGAAAGATGAGCACAGAGTCTTGAAGGTCAGGAGGAGAAGCTGGAATCTGATGTGACTAGCAAGAGGGAAAACCACCGCAGGACTGTACATGGGAGGTAACATGGTGTGTGGTGGGAAAGAGGCTTATACTCTATGTACACACCGACAAGCCTGCAATCACCAGATATAGCTAACAGAGGTAGCATTGTACTGTATAGCAGGAGAGATTATGTCACTATCACCAGGAGAAAAATTGGGGGTAACAGGGCAGAGAAAGCGCTTTCCAGCATCACTGGAAATCTCCACTGGAAAACAATCTTGAAGCCAGATACACCTCTTCCCAGTTCTCCCACCACCACTCCGCTTTTTTACCAACACTTACCCTGCTCCCCTGCCAAGGTCATTAGCAGGTGCTTGTCATTCTCATTGGGTTTGCTCAGAGAGATCAGCCACTGGGCCTGCAGTCCATCTGTCTGCCTGGAGAAGGCATCCTCCACCAGAGCCAGCAGCTGGGGACCCTTCTCCAGCCGGAACTCCTCCTGCAACAAGGAACATTGAAGAGCATCTTACCCTACTTCGTGGCAAGGTAGAACCAGTGGAGTGGAAAACCAGGGACAAATGCAGACTTGGTGTAAGTGAGTGCAATGCCACTGACTTCAATGGAGTTATACCTGTTTACAGCAGGGCTGAATGGGGCCGTTGGTGGGATTATTTTGTGGGTGGTGGGAAGGGAACCATATAGGCTTGAGGGATGGTTTAAATGTACGTGTAAATTAAGTCAATTTAGCACTTCTGAAAGCAAACCATCAATGTGCTTGTTCCACGTCCAGATCTGCAGTGGCTCTTCTATCAAGAATCACAGCGTCTCCTTTCAGTCCAGTCCTGGCCCACATAGTTGTGCTGAAGCATCTCTGTCCTAACCTGTACCCTCACTTTGAGTTTGTCTTTGTAGCATCCTCCAGTCTCAACTGAGCCCCTCCCTGCAGCAGGCAGGGATCCCAGAATCACTCCCATGTGCAGAGCTGTTTTCTTAGCCTAAAGTAAAATTGTTTCAGAAGCCAAGAAAAAGTGCCAGATCTGAAGGGAAGGCCTCAATTCTCCCAGCACCCGGCACTGGGTCAGGGGGGCCCAGCTCTGCCTGACATGTGCCATTGCCTGGCAGCTCCTCTGCCACTTTCCCACTCCTGTGTTTCTATTCTTGTCTGCAGTTGCCATGCCAACCCAAAGGCCACCCGGATGATTAATAAATGCTGGCGCTCCTGGTTGCCATGGCAATCCCAAGTGCTCAGGGCAGGCACAGGCCTGAGCAGTGAATGGCCTAATTGGAAAAGACACCTAGGATTCAGGCCTGAATCACAAGAGCCCATCAGTGCCATGTCTCATCAGGCGAGGGTTATGGATTTCAGCTGAGGGAGCGTATGCAGCCAGTCAGGAGAGGCATGGGAAGAGGGCACGGGTGGGAAACTACTCCACAACTTTACCGCAGGGGCCTCCTGCTCAGAACCACGCACAGGGGCCATGCAGCCATCACTGTCCTAGTGGCCAGCTCTCCGCATTGTGACACAACCACCATCTATGGCTCAGCAGGGGCCTGGGGATGCTGAAGGGAGGGGTAGCACGCTCAGCCTGAGAAGAACGGGGGGGGGGGGGGCGACAAGTAGCAGGGGAGAGAATATTTGAAGTAACGGAAGCAAATGAGACAGAAGAGGCCCTGACAGCCCAGGCAGTTCTCCTTGGCTGAAAAGACGGCGGCCATGACATAGTTTTAATCCAGCAAAAGGATAACTCGCAGTGCTAGAGAGACTTCAGGTTCAAATCGCCTGTGAATGGAGGCAGGGCCCTGAATGGACATGCATCATTGTTAGGTCCAATCCTGCAGTCCTTACTCAGGCAAAACTCCCACAGACATCAATGAGAGTTTTGCCCAAATAGGGACTGGGCACTTAGAACCCATTAGAAGGATAAAGGGACCAAGCCAACTTGGGTCTACAATGGAGATCTTGGTAAATGTGTGTTTGTGGTAACGGGTACAGAATCCTAGGGCCCAATCTTGCAAGATGCTGAGAGGTGCCCATTGACGCTCAGCACGTCATAGCATCAGGCCCTTAAAACAAAAAGAAATATCTGCATGTTTTTTCTAAACTAATTTAAATATATCAATAAATCGCTTAAAAATGCAAATACACTCCTGCAGCATTGAAAACCCAAACAAAACCCAGCAGGGACCTAGTGTACAGGAGCCAGAAAGCAAAACTGATATACTCAAGGGAAGCCAGCCTGTCTACTTCCACTGTCCAACCTGAATGAAGTTCAACAGACAGTAAACAAACTGCATCAACTGTGATGGCGGGGGAGGATGGAGTTTGACTTAAACAACAAAAATCCTTTCAGTTTCAATCATATAAAACACTAATACAACACAGGGAAGGGAAACATTTGTGTTAGATATTTAAGTTGACAGGTGTTCCTTTGAATAAGGTTGAAGACAGCATAAACCACTTATTGGGAATATTTGTTTTGAAACATGAAGTCAAGTAGAAAAACAGTCCAGTCCTGCCTGCCCAAGGGCGGCATCTATGTTTGGCAAGGGAATAGCCGAGGATTACACCTCCAGTCCCCCGCACTTTTGCTTTCACTTTTCATCTCCTTCCAATGGTTAAAACTCAATGATTGCAAATGGCAACAGGAAGAGATGAGAGCTATTACATACAGCAAAATTGCACTTGTGTAGTACTCAGATGAAATGGGGAAGAGAGGGATGATGACCGAGGTGGATAGGAAATGAGCCATCACAAGCTTATTTTCAAGCGCTGATGTTCTGAACTGTAAATGTTAGTTGTGACAGAAGCACTTAAAATGGTATGAAGGACAAACAGTTCTCTGTTTGAAGGGGCAATGCTAACGTCAGGAGGCTTACTGAAAGGAACATATTTCTTATACCCCTTTAGAAAGTTATCATCATTCATTCTCTATATTTATTGTTTCTAAACCAAATCCTTCAGGGTTTCTCTTTTTTTTTAAAAAAGACCAATGTGCATAGATCAGTGCTCAACAGCAATCCCGCAAGAACAAAAACAGCACGCTTAGTCCAGTGCAGGGACCTATGATAAAAAAAACAGATACACAGAGAGGAGAAAATATTTCATCAGAGAAACATTGTTTCAAATTTCTAAAGTAATCATGTATTTTAAAAATCGGTTTAAAAATCACAAAGGACAACCTGACCCTGTCCTCTTGATAACTGGTCTTTAAGGGTTTGATAAATGGCCCATGAGAGGTTCCAAAGGTGAATGGGCCCTTTTACCAGAGATACCCAAGGGGCTTTGGGTTCATCAATTAACTGCAGGTTTCAGGGATTGATGGGTGAGTATTGGATTAGCAGAGCACTTCTGGTTAACAGAACGAGAAAGAAAACAAGATAAGGGGGAGGCGAGGGGGACAAGAGGAGAGGCACTTAAAGAAGATTTAGTGACAGTCTGAACCAGTTTACTCTGGAAACAATGAGTCTTTATTTGCAGAATCATCAGAGAAACATGAGCAGAGACATCATACCCCAAAAGTGAGGAGAGGAAAAAAGTCTCGGTCTTGGGATCAGATCCCAATCTTGCCACTTCATTGCATGATTAGGGAATGCAGTGTTACAGGTACTGTCCTGCAGATGAGATGGGAAAAAAAAGGCTCCTTCCCATCTGGTGGTCATCCAGGTGGAAATTAAAGATCCCAAACCTGGTGCTTTAGGCCATGTTCCTACCTGCAGTAAAATAGGTTCTGACCTCTCAGGTTGTATTAGAGCTATTGCTAAGCTAAGAACAGATGCTGTGCTTGCTTCCACAGTGACTGCATTGTCAGCATAGAACCCAGTATGGCACACTGGTTTAGAAGATATGAGTGTGAAAGAGAAATATGAGCTAGTAGTTTGAGCACTGGACTTCTACCCAGGAATTATTGTGGTCTAAGTCCAGATCCGACACTGGACAAAACAGTTTCGCTGCCAACTCTTTCCCCATCTGTAAAATGGGAATAATATTAACCTTCTTCCCATGGGGGTTGTGACGATTAGCAGTTGTAAAAAGTCTGGAATATGAAAATGCAAACCAAGGGCTATATATTATAAACTCAATTTCTATCCTTCTGGATGGATGGGCTTGAGGCTAAAAGCACAGGATTGTGAATCTGAGATCTACTCCCAGCTCTGCCACTGACTCATTGTGTGTCCTGCAGCAAGTCACTTCACTGCTCCGTGACTTAGTTTCCCCAGCTGTAAAACTGAGATAATGCTTACCAACAACACTGGCCTGTTGAGAGACTTGATTCAATTAAAGGAACACAGTCAATTTAAAACATCACATTTCTCTCTGAAACTATTATACCAAATCTAGTTACAATGAACATCCAAGATCACTAAAACTGAAATACAGCAAAAAGCTATTTTCAAATTTATATTGATGATACACAAAATGTTATTGAATGGACATATCATTGTTCTCTTGTTTAGCCAGTTAACAAAAGAGAAACTGCCTCACTGAAGAGGCCCATCTAAATAGCAGGAAATAATCTATAAAATGTAAGGAATATATGTATTTTAATTTCAGGCACTCCTTAGTACTTAAAGGGGTCGCTCTATTGGAAATTGGATTAAAAAAATCAATTAAAAAATTCAGTTTTAAACTGTCCCGTGAATTTCTGAAAAGTAAAGTGCTTTGAGATCCTCCAATGGAAAGTGCGATGAACATGTATCAAGTATCATAACCCAGGGAGGATGGCCTCAGTCAAGGTTCCCACTCTCCCTACACAAATTTCTAGTTATGTTGACTGAGAAACAAGAGGGACAAGTGAAGGCTGCACATGCAAAACTTGCAGACACTTTTTTAAAAGCCCATTTGAAGAACTGGGACAGACATTCTATGAAAAACTGGGTTTATACCTAAGCCTAGGATCATCTTGATTCCACTATCTTGCCTGCTAACCCCCAGAAAAAGAAGAGGATGGAAAATGCACATACAGGTGCATGCAACACACAAGAGCTGCAGTTTCTTGACAGCAGTGCTGATGATAGGATTTGTGCTGGCCCTAGAACAGAGGTGGGCAAACTACGGCCCACGGGCCACATCCAGCCTGTGGGACCCTCCTGCCCAGCCCCTGAGCTCCTGGCCCAGGAGACTAGTCCCCGGCCTCTCCCCTGCTGTTCCCCCTCCCCCGCAGCCTCAGCTCACTGTGCTGCCGATGCAATGCTCTGGGCGGTGGGGCTGTGAGCTCTTGATGGGCAGCGCAGCTGCAGAGCCGCGGCCTGACCCAGTGCTCTGTGCTGCGCGGTGGCATGGCTGGCTTCAGCCGGGCGGCACAGCTGCCTGTCCTGGTGCTCTGGGTGGCATGGCTGTAGCGCCGCCAGTGCTCCAGGCAGTGTGGTAAGGGGACAGGGAGTGGGGGGATTGGATAGAGGGCAGGGGAGTTCAGGGTGATGGCCAGGGGGCGGGGGAGTGGATAGGGGTCAGGGAGGTCAGAGGGCAGGAAACAGGGGGGTTGAATGGGGGAAGGGATTCCGGGGGGGTAGTCAGGAAGAAGAAGGGGTGGTCAGGGAGAAGGGGTGGTTGGATGGGGCAGGGGTCCCGGGGGGCAGTCAGGAATGAGAGGAGGGGTTGGATGGGGCAGTGAGGGGCAGTCAGGGGCGGGAGGTCCGGGGGGCAGTCAGGGGACAGGGAATGGGGGGGTTGGAGGGGGCAGGAGTCCTGGGGGGGCATCAGGGGGGCAAGAAGGGGGGGGGGGTTAGATAGGGGGCAGGGGCTGGGCCACGCCTGGCTGTTTGAGGACACACAGCCTCCCCTAACCAGTCCTCCATACAATTTCGGAAACCCGATGTGGCCCTCAGGCCAAAAAAGTTTGCCCGCCCCTGCCCTAGAAAATGTCCTATGAATCCTAGGATCCATCACACTAACAAATATTTTGCTGCCCTGTATAGCAGAGCCAGCCCCCATGTTAGTATTCTAGCTATTTCCCATTTACTCTCATTGTATTCAGGTCTCTTGTGTCTGACTTACGCAGTCGATGTTATCAGACATGTTCAGAATGATGTAGTTTTTCCCTGCCAGGTTACTCCAGTCCTTGCAGATCACCTGAAAAGACAAGACACATACAGCTGGGTTTGGAAGGAGAATGCAGCTTCCTGCTGAAGGCACAAGAAGCTTGAGCAGAGCAAGTGAGGGGTTGTATTGTACGCTGAGCAGGGGTTTGAACTTTTGGGAAAGCTCTGGAGGAACTGCATGTTCTCCAATATGGAGGGGATTCTCCAAAGACGGGATACTGGAGGACATGCCCCATTCTCCAGGCTGTGACATACATGCATAGAAAAGAAATGTCTTCTTTTTCATTTGAGTGCTAGTGGATTTCGGTACTGTACTCTGTTAATCCACAGAGCAGGGACAGTCCGATCAGTGGCCGAGTAAGCTCCCTACAGGCTGCCATGCCAATCAGCCTTGCTATCCTGAGGCTATGTAATGGTGCATTCAGTCCTTGGCTCCCTTATTCAGAATAAGAATGGGGGAGGGGACAGGCAATTAGTGCTAACTGCCAGACTGATTTGTGTGATAGGGACACCTGTTTACTGCGTTATATCGTCCAAATGGAGCTAGACACTCTGGTAGCTGGATCCGCTGTTTAGGTGGCCTGCATATTATCACAACAGAGACTGCATCCAGAGCCTCACGGTCCTTAAGAAGCAGCTCTGTAGGCAGGCTGAAATGGAGCCCTTCTCCTCAGCTGAACTCCTAGAAACTGCAGATGGTTTCAAAACTAGACAAAGTCCAGTTCCACAGCCATCAGATAATAATGACTTGGTCACCTCACTCACTACCAGCTTGAGTGGCACTGAAATTGGCTGACCTAGTGGTGAAAAGCTCTGGATCTCTTTCTCCATCTACCCCTTACAGAAAATTTTGCAACACAGGAGAAGCCTCAATAGGTCTCAAAGCAGGTGCTACTGCACAGGTACCCTGCAATCGCACAACCACCTGCAATTTTACTGTACTGCTATCTTGTAACCTCCACCCCCATCTATCCTGGCACTTATATGGCCTCTATTACCATAATATCTTTGCATCTCACAATCCTATCCTCACAGCATCCCGTTGAGGCAGGGAAGCACCATGATCTCCATTTTAAAGATGGGGAACTGAGTCACAGAGAGACTAAGTGACTTGACCACAATCAAATGGGATGTTTGTGGAAGGGCAGCTATTGAACAGGTCTCCCACAGGCCAGGCTAGTGCTCTAACCACTGGACCATCCTTCCTCTGAACCCTCCCTGCAACTCTATTGTATGTCTGTCCTGCAATTCCCTCCCTGCAATTCTCCTGTACTAACCTGCTGACAAAGATCAGTGTACTGCTGCCCTGCTCCACGTGCCCTGCATCTGACCAGGCACTAACAGTTGCAGCGCAGGTAGCGATGCAGGTACTGGTGATATAGGCACCTCCCAGAGGTGTTTGGGGCCATTCACGCACTTATATTTCCAATAATGCAACCTGAAGAAATATCACTGGACTTGAAAGGAGCTAACTATTAACCCTTTCACTGCTGTTTTCTGCCCAAAGATTACATTAGATATGCATAGACAGCAGGGTAGGAGCAAAACTGTGTGGGAAGGTTTCTTGGTGCATTGACCCCCCACACACACACTCAGTATCTGAGATGTCTCCACAATGTGCCATGAAAGAGGGAACAATCCCCTACAACCTTTAGTGAGGTCATGGGAAAAGTCCCAGCAACTATTTCCACCAGCCTGATGATGGGGCATTTGAAAGCAGGGAGAGGTGAGTATAAGTTAATATCCACACAACATTGGAAGAAGAAGGGTTAATACCCAAACATATTCCATAATGAGTCCCCCTCCCCCGCACAATGGGATACCTGTGCCGAGTTCCAGGGCAGTCCTGTTGACAGCACATCCAGGTGGGTGTCCCCGGTCTGCGGCACAAAGCTCCGCTCTGCTGCCATGGTCTCAGTAGCCAGCTTCGTGCCATTCTGAGCAGGAGTTGCAGCTGGCTCGTCAGACCCATCCAAGGAAGCCACCGAGGAGCTGGCATTTGCGGGGCCATCACCACTACCAGAAACAATCTTGGGATCTTGGGGGCTGCCTCCAGGAGATGTTACCTCAGGAGCTTCCTCTGTTTGCTCCATTCCAGTTAGCACTGTGGGCCCCATTTGCTCCCCACCCTCTCGTACTGTGGACTCAATGAGCTCCCCTCTCACTGGGAGCTCTGTGGTCTCCACTCCAGCTCCCACCAGGGTCTGTGTGGACTCTGCTGTTGCCACGGTCCCTGCTAGCTCCACTCCTACTCCCACTGTAGCCCCAATATTTTCTGAAGTCACCTGGATGGCATGCTCTGCGACACCTTGGGATCCTGAAGTGGTGACCGACAGGATGGAGGACACAGGCAGCAGACTTGGCCCTATGCTGCTCCCTAGGTCAAAGCCCAAAGAAGTGTGCTCAGGAACAGAGTCTTCCTCTTGCCTTTCTACAGCTGCCTCAGTCACAACACCCAGTCTGCTGGAGGCTGTGGAGAACAGGAGGGAGAACAAGGAGTCCTCCTGGCCAGCTGCTTCTGAAGATATGTCCTTTGGCCATTGAGTCTGGCTGCTCTGTTGCCCTCCCTTAGAATGGTTTATGGGGAGCAGCCCTTCCTCTTCCTCCAGAGCACTGGAGAAAGGTGTATGTGGGTCAGGCTCCACGGAATCCGATGACGGCTGAAGGGGGGCGGTTTCCCAGTTGTCTTTAACCTGCGTCCTGTTTCCCTTGGGCAGGGCCTTATGAGAGGTGACTGGAAAACTGTAGTCTAAAACAAATCCAAGATGCTTCATGTTAGGAGTCTATCACAAATGATCATGAATGCTGAAAGACTGGGGGATGAAAGCAGAGAGGAGGGAACAAGCCCAGGGTCTATCTACTTAGGGACACAGATGACAGAGGTTGGAGGCCCTATGAGAGTGCCCTGGTGTTTGCCACCAAAGAGGGAAATGGGTTCATTTAATAGAGTTAAGTTCATATGTTAGCGAGAAGAATATGATTGGCAGATGCAGCTTGGGCAACAGCAGTGCAAGCTTCCCATGCATTCACCACCAGGCCTGGAGGAACCCTTTTAGGGATGACAGGGGAGTTCAGACTTCACAGACCCTTCTGTACCAGGCCTCTCCACTGAGCCTGCCAACCCAGGGGCCAATCAATGCCAGTTCTGTTGGCAGTGTTCATGAGGTGGGTTTGCATGCTCTAGGAACTAAGCTGAGATCCTGCAATTCATTTAATACAGGGGCTCTCAAACAGATACCAGTCTGTACCGCCATTTAGCCACTATCAGACTAAGGTGGAAATGATAGAGATTAAGGGGGAAAGGAACGACAGAATGATAGACCTGATCCTGCTCTCAGTTACACACAGGTAACGCCACTGAAATCTGGATTGACTAGGATGTCACTGAGAGCAGACTCTGGGTCAGGAAAAAGAAGAACAGGAGTACTTGTGGCACCTTAGAGACTAACAAATTTATTAGAGCATAAGCTTTCGTGGACTACAGCCCACTTCTTCGGATGCATGTAGGAGTTGGTGAGAGGAAGGAGGGGGAATGGTTAATTTCTCCTTGTTTT